GAGTGGCTGAAACACTAAGATGTAACCTTCAGTCAAGTAACTCGACTATGCATCTGTTTACAACTTGTAATTTGCCAACATCCAATTCTCACAAATACATTGGATAAAGTAAAGTATAGCTGGGAGAAGTGTTAGTAATTAGGCTGGAATTATATGATAGGTAAAGAAAAGTTCTACTTCTTCTGACTAAAATTTCACCTCTCATAGTTTAATACAATGGTTTATGTTTGAACTGATACAAACGATAAATAGCTGTAGAGGAGATTTCTTTCCGCAGCTTGTAGGAGCGGAAAGAGGTCCTTCCTTTTAATGCAAAATTCTAATTTGAATCACGGGAAAGTAACACAATATGCCCTCTGTACATTCATTATATATAAATCTTGCTTCTGCCTTAATACGTCCATCTGAAAGTCTGTACCAAGCCCAGTGGGAGCCATCCACACTGTACGACAAACTGTAGCTCGTTAACCATTTATTAGCGTCATACCTCCCCTGAGTGGCCACTTTTGTCACAGTTGTTTCTCGCCCGAAGGTGACCTGCAGCCATTCATTGGCATTGTTTGTACGTGACCACCAGGCCCCTCCCTTCCCTGAACTGGGGATTTTGTTAAGTCTGGAGAACTGAGGAATGCGCTTAGCAGTGTAAGACGTAGATGCTGATAAAGCATTGTCGGAAAGATGGCCAATCTCCATACCAAGAGGAAGAAAACAACTGCGATCTGTTTAATGAAATAAATCACTAATTTGAAATTAATCCAACACATCAAATGCAGATTTTTATGATTTTATGAAATCCTCGAGCTAATTCACTCGGCGAAATCTAAAACAGACACATGCATCTTTTTACTCAAAAGACTTACCTTGAAGGGACAATTCTCTCAGCGACATAAGGAAGAATTTGAGACACTGTTCTTGATCTCTAACTCCAACTAATCAAAGCTATCGTTTGCATTCCAAGAGTTTCTTAATTCCTCTAATTTCTTTAATTTCAATCTGGGCTAAAAACCTTGCAGCAGTTGCTTCGCACATTCAAAAATGTTGACCTTATGTCATCCACATCAAATTTCCACAGCGATGCAAAAATTTGATGAAATTCTGCGCCATGCAGTAAGACCTGTTTCCGATTTCCTTTAGAGGCTTTTAAAGAACAAAATAGGAATATTCAAATTACAAACGATTCATGGAATGATGATCAAAACATAATGCTCTGAAATTCCAGACTGTTGTGAAGCCCAATTGATCACTCTTTTAACCCATCAAAGTCGCAAAAAGAACAAGGGAAGAAGTGATCTTCACATGCAGGTGAGCTGGGAGGTCATTGCTTTCAATTGAATTTCATTCCTAGGTCTATTCTATATCTAGTTTATTTCTATAAAAATCATAAAAGTCGTAAAATAGCTGGAAGGAGATAAACGTGGGCTTCTCCATCCCAATATCTATTACTTCGGATCTCAGTCTTGTCACCGCATGACAAAGGGTTGAATCATGGACAATTTTTTTTTGGTTGGTTTATTCATGATTTGATCAAGGAAAAAAATTGGGCTGGGAGTCACTAACATTGAAAGTCTTTCTGCGCTTATAAGTACACAAATTATCTTTCGCATGCCATGACAGCTTATCAAAAACTATTCTTCAACACTCAAGAAGGGACTTGTCTCTAGTATCGAGCACCTGGTCATTTACGAGGCAGGAAATTAATTTGTCATCTTAAGATATAATGTTTCCTAAAATCACTCACTTACCTTCTTTGCAACCATAAATCTCCACTCGCATAGAGATGTGGTTTTTCCAACCTTTCGGATGGAAACGAACGCTTCTGGCAAACGCTCTGACATCCGGACTGAAGACATGTTTGACAACTGTTGTCCTGTGGCTATTTGCCAGATATGTCTACAAATAAAGGCGATAAGTCGATAAGGCAGTCATTTTGAGCAGGCGGCACACAATCTACAATTATGTCACGATTATGAAAACGAAACGTGTCTACATTCCAGTCAACTGCAGGAAAAAAACTAGTACTTTATTTACCGGTCTCAGTCGGGCTAGATTTGGAACTATCGTGTATTAGTTCTTGAGTATAGGATGGCCTGCATCCTCAGCCCTAATCAAAACCCCGGGTACGGTTTTTTTAATACAAACTCCGTGACTGATATTATAATAAAGCTCACATCTAACGCGCGTTAACGTCTCGTGTTTCTTCCTACACTTATACATACCTAAGAATACATAGGTTAATAAATAGGTTAATTGACCACTACCCATGGGGACTTTTCAGGACCAACACCCACTTCTTTCGTGCTCTGGCTGCTTTCTGCGTGCATTATAACAGAACAGAGCGCAGTCAAGACCTCTCTATTTTTTAAATAATGATAAAAAAAAAAAAACAGAAAAACACGCACGGCCGTGTACACATAGTATAAAGCGTGCAGTTGCATTATTGCCACGAAGTCTGTCGATTTTAGCCGCTAGGTATCGTTAGTTAACTTCCCCCAAGGCAATTTTGCCGATATTTATCTTTGGGTTTCTCTCTCTTCCCGCAAAGAGTACATGAAATGTAGTGGCTACTTTTTAATATATTTTTTTCGGATTTTGTGCATCATCAATTTTAGCTTGGAGATGGGCTATATTTTGAAATATTTAAAAGACGTTGAGGTTGTTGAACGTTGAGGGTTCAACGGAAACCAATGTGGCAGAGTTATTTTGAAAATAAGGGAGAAATTAAGGTAGAAAACGGAGACACAAGACAAAAGTAGGAAAACTAATTGTCTGTGCTTTCTGATTACCTTTACTTGGCTATTTTCCTTGATAAAGACCCAGTTAAAGTCATTTGCAGTATAAGACAATGAAAAGCTTGTCACCCACTGATCGGAATCGTGCCGACCCTGAGTGGCCACGCCTCGTACGTTGAACAGACGTCCAAGATTTCCCTAAAAAAAGAAGCGTTTTCATAAAAAACGTTTTTTATAATTGATTCTGAAAATCTGAGCCGATATCGTATATAGAGTAGTATTAAAGTCTATTCAATGTAAATCCCATAGTGAAATACCGCGACGCATAATTCGTGGATGATGCTCTCGTACGTTATTTTCTGATTTCATCTCTCGTGTAACTGATGAGTTAAATATAACTAGGCACTAATTAGCCATGCTGTGCACACTGCAGGGGGCAATGGAGAGAGACTGTTGATGGCCTATGCTCCTGAGAAAGAGTGAAGGGCGGACATATACCGTGCCCTTCTATATCCTACTATATTTTGTACTTTAGTTTCTAATTTTTTTATCTTGTGTGTATTTGATGACCTATAAAACTTGTGATTCTTAAAAAAACCGTTTTCACATGGATGGAGAGAATCAACGAAAGCAAAAAAAGAAGACATTTCAAAGTGAAAATTTGGTGAGAGAAACCTCATATGTTGCTTCTTCCCAGGCACTCTCAGTACGTGGTATAGTTCTTTTACTTAAAACTTCATTTCATCTTCATCAGACGAAGATATGAACCTACACTTGATCAGCTGCCAAAGTCAACGGCTTTTCAGCCGAGATAACTGGTAACGGGTTGAAATCCTTGCTTTACAAGCTTAACTTTCATTTTCTGGATTATTTTAGCATCTCATTGTTTAACTTCCACAGTTCTTGTAGTTTATTCCACATCCATCAATTCATGAAAATTGTTGTACAGTACTATGACCTTTCACGTACCTGTAGCCACTGATTAGCATTATTCTGTTTGGCTGCCCAACAATATTTCCCACCACTTGGTAGTAAATTAAGTTTGCCTCTATATGGAAGGTATTTAGCGTTGGCTGAAGATGAAGCAGTAAATGCTTCATCAGGAATTCTACCGTCTTCTACTCCCACAGGCATTAAACACTTCTTGACTATAGTGAAACAAATAAAACTACAAGAAACAAGTATACTGAAAGTATATCTGGAAAATTAGGTGTTGAAGGGCCTATACTTGACATGTTTCGGTAGCTGACAAAGTGGGTGACACTCTAGAAGTTCTAGACTGTGACGAGCCAAAGTGCTGGCGGAATATCACCATTTTGATCAAATGAGCTTTCTTGACATATCCACTGTACTCACCATTACGACGTCCATACAACTCAACCCTGAAGCAATGTATATTGAGATTGTGTGTCCTTGGATGAAACCTGATGAAGCGAGCATCGATGTGAGGTTTCAAGGAGTGTGTGATGACATTATTTCTGTCTGTTTTCCCGGAAAACACCTGAGATAAACGGAAATAATACTGAAATCACCCTGTTTGATCAAGTATGTAAAGTTTAAAGCAAGTCGACTTTTGACCATTTTTGGTTGTTTAAATGGTTTATAGCCCTCTAATGTCGTTTTACGGCAACAGTGGTTTTTCGCCTTTCATCATCACTAATTTAGCTAGCAAATACCTTCCACTTCAAATAATAATAATGACTGGCAAAGCTGTATCATTTCATACAATAATTATAACAGGCGTTCCACCTCTTGCTAAGTCAGCCAAACTTACTTTCTCCATAGCACGTTGTTTGTAGCTAGTCCAATGTAGTCCGTCCACACTGTATGAAAGAGTCTATGTTTTAACTCTGTCTTCACTATTATATCGACCTTGAGTTGCCACTTTGGTCACTGCAGATATTTCTCCCAGGTCTATCTAAAGCCATTGGATGCGGCTCTTATGCTTGGGGCACCAGGCCCCAACGTGCTTACCGTCCGACGAGAGGTTTAGTCTTGCAAGCGAAGGCCGATGATTATTGTCATAGCTAGTGGACGTAGTAAAAGCACCGTCAGGAATCCGTTTATCTTCCACACCCAGTGGCACAGAGCAGCTGTGAACTAAGAACATTGACTATTAACGCGTTAGTTCCATGCCTGTGAACACCTAAACGTGATAAACAGGCGTTGTAACAACAGGAATAAATCTGTAATTTTCATTCCAGAGGGTCACTTGCTCCTCAGAGGTAATACTGCGAAGTGTTGCCCACACCAAATAAATTTGTAACATCATCATTCTTTTTTTTTCTCTTCTTGTATTATTATTATTAATTTTATAAGTACTATGTAATATTATCAATATTACATATGATGCACGATCCTCGCAGTAGATAGCGCTATTTATGCAATAGCGAAAATCAGACCTGAAAAAAATCAGGCCTGTACGGGACTCGAACCACTGACCTCTGCGATACTAGTGCAGCGCTCTACCAATTGAGCTAACAAGCCAACTGGGAGCAGGCCGTTAAGTTGATTCGTAATAAACCCGTGAAAGTGATAAATGAGATACAATGAATATATGAAGTTCATATATTTTGAACTGCGGTATTAGATACGTATGATGCACGATCCTCGCAGTAGATAGCGCTATTTATGCAATAGCGAAAATCAGACCTGAAAAAAATCAGGCCTGTACGGGACTCGAACCACTGACCTCTGCGATACTAGTGCAGCGCTCTACCAATTGAGCTAACAAGCCAACTGGGAGCAGGCCGTTAAGTTGATTCGTAATAAACCCGTGAAAGTGATAAATGAGATACAATGAATATATGAAGTTCATATATTTTGAACTGCGGTATTAGATACGTATGATGCACGATCCTCGCAGTAGATAGCGCTATTTATGCAATAGCGAAAATCAGACCTGAAAAAAATCAGGCCTGTACGGGACTCGAACCACTGACCTCTGCGATACTAGTGCAGCGCTCTACCAATTGAGCTAACAAGCCAACTGGGAGCAGGCCGATAAGTTGGTTCGTAATAAACCCGTGAAAGTGATAAATGAGATAGAATAAATATATGAAGTTCATATATTTTGAACTGCGGTATTAGATACGTATGATACACGATCCTCGCAGTAGATAGCGCTATTTATGCAATAGCGAAAATCAGACCTGAAAAAAATTTGCGCTATTGCATAAATAACGCTATCTACTGCCAGGATCGTGCATCATACGTATCTAACACCGCAGTTCAAAATATATGAACTTCATATATTTATTCTATCTCATTTATCACTTTCACGGGTTTATTACGAACCAACTTATCGGCCTGCTCCCAGTTGGCTTGTTAGCTCAATTGGTAGAGCGCTGCACTAGTATCGCAGAGGTCAGTGGTTCGAGTCCCGTACAGGCCTGATTTTTTTCAGGTCTGATTTTCGCTATTGCATAAATAGCGCTATCTACTGCAAGGATCGTGCATCATACGTATCTAATACTGCAGTTCAAAATATATGAACTTCATATATTTATTCTATCTCATTTATCACTTTCACGGGTTTATTACGAACCAACTTATCGGCCTGCTCCCAGTTGGCTTGTTAGCTCAATTGGTAGAGCGCTGCACTAGTAT